TTGTTTTACTGTACAAATATGGCTGTGGCTCCAGCACAGTGGAGAACTTGGTAGATGCTTCTCTGACCTATTTCCCCAATTCACAAATCACATTACCTGCAAAACCTTTTCCATTCATCATTCTACAGGAATACCATATAACCCTCAGGGACAAGCTATAGTAGAAAGATCACACCAAGTTCTTAAAACTCAAATAGCAAAATTACAGAGTAGTGAATTTAAATATTCCTCTCCTCATCATATTTTACAACATGCTTTATTCGTAATTAATTATTTAAATGTTGATTCACAAGGGAAGAAGTATAAGCTGGAGCAATTACCCTCAATAAAATGTTTTGCTTTTAATAGACTTAGAGACGTTACTCCTTGATAGCCCCTATTCTGCATCCATTCTCAACACAGTAATCAGTGTGATCCTGTAATACACTGTCTGATCATAACACTCTTCTGCTCAAAGTCCTCTTGAGCTTTCCATCCTAATCTTAAGCAGAAGCCAACTCCTTATTCTGACCCTAGTTCCCACTCTGGCCCCATTACCTTTCAGAGCTCCTCTCTTGTGACTCTCTCTATTTCTTGCCATTCTACTCCACCACACAAGTCCACTTTCACTTCTTCAAACATGCCAAGGATCTTTGTTCTTCTACCTCTCTCTGCAGAATGATCTTCCCCCAGATACATGTGTGACTTTCTCATTCACCTTCTTCCCAAACCACTCTCATAAAAATTTCCTCCCTCCCCACTGCACTTCCTAACCCATTTACCTGCTGATTTTTCTCCATAACATGTATCTCCATCTTGAATGTTACATATTTTACAATTTTTTGTTGTCTGTCACCCCTACTAAAATATAAACCCCATGGGACAAAGATATTTGCTCCTAATGCCTAGAACAAGCATTTAGGACAGTAGGGTCATTATGAATTGGAATAGACTTGACAGCAATGGATTTTGGTTTTGGCAATATTTGTTGGACGAATGAATAAATTCATGAGATCAGATTATAAAATCCTTGAAGACAGATTCTGAGTCTAATTATTTTCATTTGTTAAGCACCTAAACTAGAGTTCAATAAATGGCTGTGGAATGAGCAAATGAGTAACTGGATAAGTATTTATGTTTGGCATCGGGGTGCTGGGGAGTACTGGATGACAACTAGCCTTCCCTTAGAAGTGATTCTTGAAGGACCCTTAGAAAATGTGCCCCAACCTGGAGGGTAGAAAAGAGGGTTGATTTTATTAGTGACAGTAGCTCGTCCCTACTAGGGAATGGCTGGTTTCAGTAAAGCATTGGTAGAAACTTACTTGCATAGTAGATTTACTGCTATGAACTGATAAAATTTTTCATGAAAAGTATATAGTTTAGGAAAAATGCTCATAAAAAAGAATGGAGTCTGGCTTCTTGCTAGATAATTAGGAGGTAAAGTCATGCTCTGGGTCACTAATTCCCATTTGTTATTAGAGTTAAACTCAGGCTCGAGTAAGCTATATTTATGATTACCATCTGGATTTGAAGGAAGCAAAGCATATGGTTTTTGGTAGAAGTGCTAGAACTGTATTAATTTTCAAGGACACCCTCAATTAGTCTAACTCATTAATCTCCATACTTGCCATGTAAAGGAATCCTTCCTAGCTGAAGGATAGCAGGAGCTCATTCTCACAGTACTAAAATACCTCTTGCTCTCAGCGGGTCTTCTGGGATTTCAGAAACTCCTTTGTCATGGAGCACAAGCAGGCAGGAGCACATCTTGACACATTTAGTGGGACTGGAGTTGACCCAAAGGAGTCCAGCAGAGAAAACAGTACCTTAATCTCTTCTCGGCAGACTTGCCTATGTTGGTGGCTCTTCATTCCAGAGATGCTTTCTATCCATTCATCCCTGCAGGTAGCAACCTCCTACCTGCTAATCACCTCCCTGGAGTCCCATCAGCCTGTTACCTACTTAGCAAGCAACACCAAGATGGTTACTGCTGCCTGTAAGAATATCAGCAAAAGAGAAATACAGAGGACCTTCTCATCATTTGCTCCTCTCTGGCTCAGAGTAAGAAACCAATGGATAAAATAGGGTATTACAGGTCCTCTCCAGAAGTCTCTCATCTGAGGGTTTTTAACCTCAGACTCTGCTTTCACGATCAATGGATTGCAGATACCTTCGAAAGTCATCCAGTCCAAAGAAGGAGACCCAGGAATCACAGAAGAAAATGGACTGCAGGTCTAATTGCATTCATGAACTACTGTCTCCTTCACCATGAGACCAGAACAAATGAATGGTACCCAGGTGCTATTACTGAACGTTTTGATCAAGGATCCAACATATGGATCCTGACCAAAAGGAGGAAAAATACAGAACAAAACTTCATTCTCATGAAACTGGACTTACTGGATCCATGGTGACTGAAGGGACCCCAGAATCTATTCTTTGGAAAGATTTTTTAACCTTGAAGTGATACTCTTCCATGAAGTCATTTTAAAACTAAACATTAGTTTAACTCAGTAAAGAATGTTTCCCTTGAGCATTTTGCTCTTTTAAAGAATTACCTATTTGATATCAAATAGACAACAGTAACTCTAAAGCACAAATGAGAACTTTAAGGGACAAAAGGTCTAAGTCAATGGTAGTGAAACAATATGAGAAAAGATGGTGAGAATGGTGACACAATGTGAAGTATGTAACCTTTTTCACTGAATTGCACATTTAAAAACTGTTGAGTGGGTGTATGTTTTGTTGTGTATATTTTTACCAAAAAAAAGTCATCCATTCCATGTCCTTCAAGCCAGGCAGCACTAACTGCAGAGGACAAGCCTGTCCTATACTCAAAGGGTTGCATCCTACTGTCATGTTCCAGTATACACTAACACCCCTGAATTTTTTTTTTTTAAAAACTGTGCTTAGTATCTAACTTGAATTCTCTTTTATAATGTAGGCCTTTTCTTCTTCATCAGTATTCAGAGACAAAGAAAAAATTTTCAAGCTTTTACAAATAACTCTCCAAATGGATGGTAACTTTGTAGGTGGTAATGTCGTAGGTGAAACAGGGACTAGGCTAAGATAATGAGTCTGAATGTGGGCTCTGTTAAGATATAACCTCACTCAGCTTCCTTACTCTACTCTGAATCTCAATTTCCACATCTATAGAGAGAGGACAACATTTCATTAATCCATAAATATTTATTAAGTTCCTATCAGAAGGCAGGCTCTGTGCTTACTTAATGATAATGATGGCTAATATTTATTGAACACTTAGCAGGCACTTTTTAAAAGGTGTTTTAAATGAGTTAACTAATTTATTTCTCACAAAAACCTTTTTATCTAGTGTACTATTAGCCTCCCCTCCCCCATTTTTACAGATGAGTAAACTGATATATTGAGTTAAGTAACCTGTTTAAGGTCAAGTAGTTAGGTGATGGAGCAGAAATTTGAACCTGGGCAGTCTGGTTCCAGAGTCTAATTTCTTCTTTAACCATCCAGCCAGCATGCTGCTGCCTTCCAGGTGTTAGGGATGTAATAGTAAGCAAAAAAGACCAGGACTCCATTCTCATAGAGCTTCAGGTAAGAAGGTATTAGTGAGAAATAAATTAGTGAGGTAAACAGATGTTGAACACATAATTATATGAACAAACAGATAAATGTTAGGAAGGAACAGTTGCTAACCAACAGGCTGGTGGTTTAAACACACCCAGAAGTTCTGTGGAAGAAAAGGCCCAGCAATCTACCCCATAAATATTATAGCCAAATAAATCCCTATGGAGCAGTTCCACTATGTAACACCTAGAGTCACCATGTGCAAAGGCCCTGTGCTGGAAGTGAAGCTGGTACACTGGAGAAATGAAAAGGCAATGAGGCTGGAATGCTGAGATTTGGGGGGAGAATTGGGCAACAAGGAGCTGGAGAGGCGACAGGAACCTCTCTATCTTATAATACACCTGGTAAATATGTTGCTCTCTGTCCTAAGATTAATGGCAAATCATTAAAGAGCTTTAACAAAGGGCCTTGATACTATCAGAACTTTGAGTTGAAAATCACCATGCCCTTAAGAGGCCATGGAAATTAAATGAGGCAATAAAGCTGCAAATCCTTCCAGAAGTTGTGCAGTACTGCACAAACACCACTGTTTAAATTAAAGTAGATCTAGGTAACTCATTCCTCTGTGATGTCACATTATCATGGTGCTACTCCTTAGAATGTACATTCTATGACTGGGTCCCTCATGGTCAACTTGATACAATGGGACTCAGGAGCCATATATTATGTGAGTTTCTGGGTACCAGTATATCAGCTTGGCCACACTATTTCTGTCATTGAAATCTGCAAAACCTGATTTTCCTGCATCAGTCAATGTCTCTGTTAATATGCTAATGCTATCAGTTCAATTTCATGAAGCTGATATTAATGGTTAATAAGACAATTTTAATTAGTGCTAGAGCCCTGTGGAAGTGGTGCTCAGAACAGATACATATTGTTATGGAGGAGATCTAAAAAGTTGCAGAGCAGAGACCATTGTCAAGATCAGCCAGGGAACATCATAAGAAAAACAGTCACCACGAGGTGCACTTCCTATACAATGAGTGTTAACTGAAGACAAACTCTGCCTGACTAATAAGAAATCATCTTTATGATGGAAGTATCAATATAGCAATTAATTCTAAATCTCCAGCCTTTATCTGATTTCATTCAAAGCAGTTTTTCAGGTGTACCCAAACATGAAGAGAGTAAGAGACCAGATCAGTATCCCAAGGGCAGAGGCTGGGGCACTTCACCAGGTATCTAGGTACCTGGTGCATGACCGTGTATGCCAGGTTGCTTAACTGGTGCCTTGACTTATGGGCTATATGGAATAATGAATAATGGGATACAATGAAGATTTCTACAGAGGGCATAGATTATGTTACATTGCTGGAATGGTCATGCTCCAGGTTGTTCCTCTTGACTCCTTTGGTTCATGTTCCCTTATAGTGAGGTTCTAGACCAACGCTTTACAGAGTCTGCTTGCTTCAGTTTCTTACCTTGGGCTTTGATATCATCCACCACAGGGCAAGGGGTCTTCACAATCACATCACTTGGCCTGGAGCGCCGTCCTGTATTGTCCACTCCCCACAGGGTGAACCTGGCAGGGAGGTGGAATGGTAACATTAATCAGACATGGCTGTAGTTAGGGGCTCTGTAGCCCCAGGGGACAGCCAGCCAACAATGATGGCTGGGCTTGTTGATGCCTCTGGCTACTCTTGTGACCCAGAGGTATAACCTGGCCAGAGACCCCTATGCCCACCAGGAATCCCCATTCTGGTGACACCAAGTATTGGCTCCCACAAGATGACATCACAAACCCTTTACAAATGGGAAATAGATTTGCTTAAGGACATGTGGTCAGGGAGAGGTGAGGCTGAATTTTTATACTTCCTGCCATTTCCCAAGTCAGAAAATGTACAGCCCAGAGCCTCTCTGATTGCTGGTAGTCTTGAGGTAATAATGTGCTGTCTTGGGTATGCTGTCTGACAGAAAGCATCATGGCATAGGGCATTGCTTCTCTACATGTGGGCTCCAGACAAGCAGCATCTGCATCACCCAGGAACTTACCAGCAATGAAAATTCTCAAGCTCCAACTTAGACCTATTGAATCAGAAATTCTAGGGGTGAGACCAAAAACATGTGCTTCGATAAGCCTTCCAGGTGATTCTGATGGTCATTAAATTTTAACAGCCTCTGAGCTGAAGGCAAGAGTGTGTGTCTTTTGAAAAAGATGATAAGAATTTGGGTCTGAAGCGCCACTTCCTGCCATGTGGAGTTACAGTTAACTTTCAAAGCTCTATTTTCCCCGACCTGTGAAATGAGAATGATGATAAAACTACCTCAGGGTCACTGGGAGGATTAAATGAGATAATCATGTACAGAAACACCCAGTGTGCAATACCTGGAGTTTAATTAAAAAAAAAAAAAAAAAGATCACTGCCTTCGAGTCGATTCCAACTCTTAGAGAGCCCTCCTTGGGTTTCCAAGGTGGTATCTCTATGGAAGTACATTGCCCGGTTTTCCTCCTGAGGAGTGACTGGTGGGTTTGAACTGTAGGCCTTCTGCTTAGCAGTCAAATACCTTAGGCACTGCACTACCAGAGCTCCTTTAAAAAAAAAAAAAAAAATGGAGTTTAATGACACTCCAAAAAATTACATTAATTCTGTTCTGCTCTGTCCTGTGTTCAGTCAACACCTTTATACAAAGGACTGAGGAAAATTTTCCTCTTCAAAGTTAGAAGTAAAACAGCTAGAATAGAGGATCCTTTGGCTTGCCTATGGAGTTCCTTGGTGGGCTAATGTGCTAGGTGGCTAACTGAAAGTTAGGCTGTTTGAATCCACCCAGAGGTGCCTCAGAAGGCAGGTCTGGTGATCTACTTCTGAAAAATGAGCCACTGAAAATCCTATGGTGCAGTGCTACTCTGATACATGGGACTGCCATGAGTTGGAATCAACTCAATGACAACTGGTGTTGGGCTAACTGGCTTGCCTGTGGCTGAACCCTCCATTTCCTACATGTCATTCATCCTGTTTCACTGAGATGCTATGCATTGTGGACCAGGAACCTAGAGTGGGACATTACTCCACCCCCTAGGCATGAAAAGATGAGTTCTAAGAGCTCTCCCAGGAAGAAGATGAAAACCTGGCTATTGAATGCCAAACAGAATTTTCCCCTTGAGTGATGTACCTGGACAGAGAGGAAAAAGAGAAACTCCAGGTTCTGCTCCTTAGAGGGAAATTTAAATATAACCATGGAAGTCAGTTCTGGTGTCTGAACCCAGGGCCTCTAATAACTTTGTCTAAAGAAAATCATTAATGTTGCTTCTCTTGCCCCTTTCCTCTGTTCTGTATCTCCACAGGATCATGCATTTACTGGTGAATTTGGGTTTTCTTTCTGCGTTGCCAGGAGGGCAGTGGAAGAAAGAGCAGTGCTCTGAGACAGCACTCACAGGTCAGTGTGGGCTGAGTTGCACACAGGGGAACTGATGGAACAGAATGGAAATGGAAATTGCCTAATGATTCTGTCAGGAAATGTGTTTCTCTCAGAAAAAGGCAATCTTGCTGCCACAAAGATTGTCTTTTCTCACAAGGGAGCCCTGAGGATGATCTCTGTAAGGCATTGTGGATCCTGATGAGTTATTTTTCCATCCTCTGCCTTCTCTGAGGGGGCATTGGTGGCTCAGTGGTAGAATTCTTGCCTTTTATGCAGAAGAACCAAGTTCAACTCCTGGCCATGTACCTCATGTGTAGCCACCATCCGTCAGTGGAGGCTTGCATGTTGCTCTGCTGCTAAACAGGTTTCAGCACACTTCCAGACAAAGGCAGATAGGAAGAAAGGCCTGGTGGTATACTTTCAAAAATCAGAAAATGAAAACCCTGTGGATCACAGGAGTTTGAACTGGAACTGATCATGCGGATGGCATAGGCCAGGTAGTGTTTTGTTCTGTTGTGCAACTTGAAAGCAGCTAACAACAAGCCTTCCCCAAATGCTCAGGCTGGGAATCACAGGTGTCTCACACATGCAGGCTCTGTGCTGCCAGGAAGCATGGTCTGGTAGGACTTAAGAGTCTGATGACCTGCCTGAGTGCAAGATGCTGCAGCCCAGATCCATATCTGCACAACACTGCCTGGCTCTCTCAGCTGCTTGCTGTCAGTCACATGGGACTGGTTGCTGGCTTTCCCCTCCTATCTGCACAAAAGGGCTCGGTCCACACTCCTGGCTTCCACCTCCTGCCTTACCCTGTAGTTCTGGTCAATGCTCTTGCCCGATGCTAAGCCCCATCCTGATCTCTCCCCTGTTATTCCTTTTCTCCTATGTCTGCATAGGATTTTTTCAGTCTCACACTGTTTCCCAGAGGCAGCACTGGTTGCCTGAATCCCTAGTGAGGCAGACAATGCAATTTTCCAACATTTGGCCCCACACACATGATCAACCTCTTGGTACTGTTTCTAAAATTGGAACTGAGGCCATTAAACCCTGAATCTGGCACAGTGATCAGAGACCAGCCCTGTCTGGTACCAACTCCATTTCTGAGTCCTATCCTGCAACTTGGGTATCAGGCCAAGTGCTAAACTGCTCTACTCTCTACCTGCTGTAGACCCTCTTGAGCTAAGTTTCCCAGGGATGGACTCAGAGGGAGCACAGGGCAGATTTCAGACCTGCACCCCATCATACAGTATTCCCACACATGGGCAGTTTCTCCTCATGACCTTGTCCCCTCCATAACATAGGGAGCAATGTTCTGAGTGCTGGGGAGAGAGAAAGATGGGAGAGCCCACAATTTCCACTGTCTTACTGACCTTGGTGGAATTAAATTCTAGGGCTTTGAGTGAGACCCTTCCTCTTGCTAGAGATCCAGACAACAGGGCCCTGTGGCCATCTCCCTGCTCAGAGGTGGGCTTACTTGACCTTTGTTGCAAACTCCTCCCTGACACCAGTTCCTAGGGTCAGTTCCCATCAGAGGCAAGAGAGATGTCACCCTGTTCTCCCCTAGGCCAACATTCTCAGGCTAGCATGTTCCCAGGAAGCCTGCATTTGGCATGCCCCTTGCTCAAATCTCATGATTGGGCTACCTCTCTTCCTCCAGTGCCCTCTTCCCCTAACTGTGTCTGAGTTCACATACCTGAGAATAAGCCCTAGTTTCTGTTGCTGAAACCCAGTTTGCCCCATGCTCCCCTGTAAATGTGGTGCTGCTTCATCCTTTCCTGTCTGCCTTCCAGGATCCTAAGCATGTGGTGTCTTGCTAGCCACTAATAGGCTATGTGGCACTACCAGCTGTCCTGTGTGCTTAAGGCTTACTTGCCTCAGGTGTCTCCTGCTGGATTCCAGCCACTTTTTGTAACCCACTGTTATTTGGGCCTGGGCCTTTCTTTCTAACAGTTTCCCTGGACTGTGATGCCAGTGTCCAAAGTATCAAGCACCTTATCAGCTGTCAGACTGACTGCCTTTCCCTCTGCCTGGGGCAGGGTAATCCCTCCCCTCCCCCAAGCTTGTGCCACAGCCCTGGCAGCTCTGCTTAGTTGGTCTTATCTTGGTATAAATTCCAGCCAAATACTATTGGATCTTGAGCTGTAATGAAAATGCTGTGCTGAAGTTAATTCTCACATTACTCTGATGGGTAAGCAGTGTAAAGTTTAAGTTTCTAAGTTCTCATTATTTTTATTAGAAAACAGAGGTATTAGAGAGGAAAATGCTTCCTATGATATTCTAAGTTGAGACGTTGTTTGATCTAACAGCCACTGCTCAGTGGTCCTACTCTCAGCATGGGCAAGACTCCCTTCATCCAGAGGGACACGGAAGGTGCAGCCAGTTTATTTTTACTATTGCAGCCCTGGAGCACCTTACACATTTCCATATGGAAATGCCATGTGCATTCATTTCAGGAAGGCCTTCTCCATCAACTATTAGCATTGTCATTTCCACCATTGAACACTCACAGGACAGGAAGAGAGTTATCTGGAAATACTGGGCAGAATAGATAAGCCCTGCTCCCAATCCAGAGGGCTAATGTGTAGATACATTTCCTGACTCATCTAAGCTTTTGGCTCCTTCCACAGCTGCCTTGGCTGGGATTGTCTATAGTTAGTCTATGAGGACACTTATTGAAGGCATGTGTTTAACATGAGAACAGACACAGACTAGGTCTGTCCCCAAGGCTGGCGTTGTAAAGGCCTGAGCCTTGATGTGAGTACAATATACTTGTCCTGTCAAGGGCTTTGTCTGATATTTTCACATGCTTCCCCTCCAGGCTTGGTAGGTTTGATAGACCATCTGATTTGGGTCCCTTTTTTCTGAATTATGTGTCACATACTCAGGAAGGTTGTGATTCTCCTGCAAACATGTTGTGATGAGGGAGCATTCAGCTAGAAGGCCAGTGAGTCACTTCCCCTCTCTGACCTCAGCTTCCTTATCTATAAAACTAAGATCTTGCACTAGATACATTTTAAGATCCCTTCCAGCCTAGGATGGTAACATTTTTCATGCCACAGAACTTTCTTAGATTGTTTTTTAAATGCATTACAAATAAAATACATAGGATTACAAAGGAAGCCAGTTATACAAGCCAGAAACACAATCCTACCTCTGTGGACCATAAGT